AGCTTGTTCTAAGTAGGTGCTTTAGACCACTAAGTCATCTCACCAGTCCCTTTAAATATTTTCTTACTATACAGTTTTTACTTCTGGTAACGGCTACTTAGTGTTTCTTCTTGGTGCTAAATTAGAATGTTTTGGAGTGGCTCCGAATTGTGCCCAAAATCTCTTAATCCTTGTGAGAGGATTATTTGTTCATGGCATGTATTGAAAATTATAAGAATGATTTTATTGTTGGAAATAGCCCTCAGAATAGAATGCACTGTAAGATGGTTTTGAGGGAGGCAGATTCTGAATGGTGGATGGGCAAGTGTGCATTTGGTACTAACTTAGCAGCTTGGAGAGGGACAGTGAAGGAGTCTAGCTAACCCCTCGTAGGAAAATAACTAAAGAGATCCCAGGCTGATCGGCCATCTTCTGAGTGTAGTGGGGAGTGTGAACCCGATCAGGTACCAACATTATCAGATTATAAAAATACTTCAAGGTTGTAGGATCTGTTTATGTCCCTAAAAGGAGAGGATGTGTTACCTACTCTCCTATTGTCCTCTGCTGTCCTCACACATGCTCAGAGAATCAAGCTGCTTTTGCAGGTGGCTCTGCTCTAGTCCCATAAACTGAAAGCCCTGTCTGGTGCTGACAACAAACTTACAGATATGAGGTTTTATTTCTAGGCTGATGTATCCCCCAAGAAAAAGTGTTTAGGGCTTCAGGAAGGAATTTACATTCCTGATAAAATGGGAAGGAAAAAGTAACAAACACTTGTTCTGCTATACAAATACAGGGGGCATAATATATTTTTGTGTTGTTTATTATTTTTAGATTCAAAAAAAATTTAATATTTCTTAATTGTTTTCATACATGTGTGCATTTGTCTAGTCTCAGTTTGAAAAAAGTTTACACTACGAATAATATCATTTAATACTGAATGAGTTTCAATTAAATATGTTAGAAAGGATAGATGATAATCAGAGAGATACAGATAGATACATAGAGACTGATATAGATACAGAGCTTATTTTTTATAATCTGTCACACTGATGCATCTATTACTTGCTTCTTGTATAAATAACATCCTGCTTTTAGGTTCTTAATTTCACTACATCCATAGATTTTGTAAATTTCAGAACACTCATGTGATATTTATGCCAAATATAAAAATTCTCTCTTAATAATTTTAGTGGTGTCCAACTTGGCATTTTTTTTAAGGTTAACATTTGTAAAATATTATTTTAGTGCTTTTGTCTCTTTTCCTAGAATTTTAGAGTTTTAAAACTTCTTACTGTTTGTTTTGTTAAGGTTGTGGCTATATTCTGTGTTTTCCTTGAAGGAGTTTTACTTGCTAATTTTGTATTAGAACTATTTCTTTTCATTTACTTAGGGTTGTTTGACAGAGTGCCCATAATTTCTTTTACTTTTCAGATGAGTATTCTTATTACTAATGGGATATTCAAGCCTCCTTGCCATCCCAATTCTTTACTTCTCTCCTAACGTACTGAATATTTACTGTAGCTCAGAAACTCCAGAGCAATACTAATTAAATCTGATGCTAGTAAGAAGTATTTCATTGAAAATTTTGTCAATGAAATTGCTCTTCATATCCAGCTTCTGTAAGAAGCTTCATTCCACAAAGGAGATTGTAGTTTGTGAATAGTACCCTTAGGGGATGGGGAGATAGCTCAGTAAAATAAGTGCTTGCCTGGCTAGCGGGAGGGCCTGAGTTCAATCTATGGTTACACACACACACACACACACACACACACACACACACAAATAATACATTTAGTTTTTCTTTTTCGTTTTTCTTTCTCTTCCTGAGAATATTTATTTGACATTCAAGAATTAGCATTTGAATTGACTTAGTACAGTTCGTATTTCTAATTTAAAATTTTTTATTTTGTTTTATTTGGAAACAAATATCAGTTAGACAGTTTCAAAGCTGATTAATCGGACATTTTCAATAATTAATACCTTGTACATTGTTATCTTCTTAGTGGTTATTCATAGCACAAGAAGCAGACAGGATATCCTGTCCAAACACTATTACAACAAATCTTTCTTCTCAGTGAATTAAGCGAAAGTAGCTATATATTGATCCGAACTATTCTGTATATACACAAACAAAATGGTCCTTCCTTTGTATCCCTTTTTCTTTTCTCTTGTCAGACATGGGTATTCTAGTGGCATCTAAATACTGTAGGTGCATGAATTCATCAAAACAATCCAACACAGTCCAGCAATCCACAATAGTATTGGGTGATCCACAAGTTGTTGATTTGAGCCTTGTACAGCTCAGCGTATTAATATGGCTTTACTTTATATATCTCGTTTTTATACTTTTTGCTGGATGGTTAAGACCAAGATAAAGCAAGATCTATATACCAAGAAATGTAACTTTTGTATTTGATAGGGTCAGTCAAGTCCCCTCAGAGTTTATCCTGTAACCCTATACCACACTTTGTACATCCTTTGTCAGTGTCAGCCATGTGTTTGAGTCACGGTCATTGCTTTAATTGGTAGGATTCTCACCCTAACTATATATGCTGATACCTGAGAACCAAGCAACTACACTAAAGGCAGTAATGTGTAATAGAAGGGTCACGCTTGGAATACCTGTCATTGTGATCTTCTAAATCCATACTTCTTGTCATGACATACCAATTATTACCATATGGTCTCACAAATAATAGTTGTGGTGCTTTATAATGGATAAAAAATGAGGAAAAAAAGATACAAGAAAAAGAAAAAAATGTCACAGGACTGTTCTGCTACAATGCTGTATAGGGTTAGATTTCTAAATTTCTGTGTAAAAATATGTGTTTATTTCACTTTAATTATCTTTTTCTTTATATTCTGTAAGGACGGAAAATTGAACACATCAATACTTGACAGAAAATACCTGTTCCATGTTATGCCTAAGATGTTTGATATTTAGATAGTAAGAGTAAACCAAACTGCATATGTTTCAGGGTTATAATAAGCTTCTCTTCTGGAAGGTTAAAAACCTAAGTTTGCAAATCAAAAACTGGAGAAAAGGAAGATCTGCAAGGTCAGCCTACATTTTGGCCCTGCCCTTTCAAAGTCAGTGAAGACTGAGGACATAGGAGAATTTGTAACTCAGTTATGTCCCAAATTTTCTGATCAAGGAGATTATGGAGCCACAGAGGAATGTGATCGATGATGTATAGTGTGCCTAAGGACAGTCACATGGAGAAAAAACATTCTTTCAGGCTTTCACCGAGAGCAAATTGGTCAATTAATGGCCGTGACTCATCCACATGGCTGACAATGACATTTAGTTTTTTCTAACAGAAATCTCTCCAAATGAAAAGGATGAGAAACTTTCTGAGCCGTGAATCCTGCGACGAGGATGGGCTTGCATTCCTGACCCTCACTCATCTGCATTGTGACTCATGGCTTTATTGTTTAAGCAAAATCTAAGTTTTGACTTGAAAGAATTTCAATTTATCTTTAACTTTATCTTTATTTATCAAATACAATTATGTGTTTTCTTAGATGTTATGTTATGAGCTGGTATATGTTTATATTACCTAATACTTAAATTAAGTCAATTAATGCATCTAACAACCCGGTATTTCTTCACATGCAAGAATATGGATAGAAATTTTGTTTGAGATACATTGAATAGTAATATTAAGAAAATATATTTTTCCTCAAATAAAGGATTTAAATATGAATGGATGGTAGTTAATATTGGATACTATGTAAACATAAATACATACACTATTTGATTCTTCCACACAAGATATGTTAAAATATTACCCTTCATAAACATCTATTTATTGTAATTCTGCACATAAAATTTGCTCTGCATATGTACAGCAATAACACATTAATTGTATAACAAATGGAGCAAAAGACAAAGCAACTATTCTGTGAATTTTGAAAGGCCACTATCTCCTCCATGAGAAATTCATCTCGTTGATTCATCTAACTCTAATTACCTTCTAAAAATTCAGGCTTCTAGCATCATTATATTCATATTTGGATTCAACTTATATGAGTGTGTGGAAAGAACACAGGTAATCAGTCCTGAATTGGTACAAGGCTAGATTAGAAGATGATCGCTGAATGAGCCTTTCCCCTATGCAACCCTGTGCTCTCTGTGCAGGCTTGCACCAAAGAACTACCAGAACTACCTGCCCCCCCTTTTTGCCATAGAAGAGATCAACAGGAATCCTCATCTTTTACCCAACATTTCTCTGGGATATGAGTTCCATAATTTCATTTACAGTCATTGGAGGATACTAGAGAATTCCTTCATTTTGCTCACAGGACAATATGAGATCTCTAATTACATGTGTGGGACAGAGAGCAAGTGTGCAGCAGTACTGACAGAAATGTCATGGGGAACCTCGGCTCAGATTGGACCACTGCTGGAGCTCTACAGATTTCCACAGGTGAGGGTTGGTGGGACTGAAAATGCTGGAAGTACAATACTGGTACTTCACCTAAGTGCACTAGGTAGGGTTAAAAATGGGATTGGTATGAGTATGTTTTAAAGTGTGTTATGCACTCAGACGCTTAGTGGATTAGACTGGATTTCTTTTCTTTTTCAATTTTTAGATCAAAACTAAAGGGAAGAAGTATATTTCCAATATGTTTGAGAACATTCTTTAATTTTTTTAAAAAATCCTTTGATGGAGGAGTTCAGAAAAGGGAATAATATCTGTTTAACTGTACAACTTGCAGAACTTAATCAGCTATATATTTCTGGATAGAAATCATCAACAATTCAGTGAATTACCCACTTTTCTACTCCCTTAAGGTTACCTTTGGCTCATTTGATCCTAAGCTGATGGACAGTGGCCAGTATCCTTCTCTCCATCAAGTGGCCCCAAAGGACACTTATTTGGCCCTTGCCATGGTGTCCTTAATGCTTCATTTCCACTGGACATGGGTGGGCCTGCTAATCACAGAAGGCCATAAGGGTCTTCAGTTTCTCTCAGATATAAGAGCTGAGATGGACAAGAACAGAGTCTGTGAGGCCTTTTTGAAAATATTGTCAACTGCGGCTGTGTCATATATGTCAGCCACGAAGAAACATGATATCCCGACTGAAGATACATTATCGGCCAATGTGGTGGTCATTTACTATGATACTGATAGTGCAAATGATGTAAATTACAACATAGCACAAAACTTAGTGACATGAAAAGTCTGGCTTTCAAACTCACGATGGCATGCTGATCTGACTGGAAGAGATTTTATACTGGACCCATTCCATGGGATTCTGGTGTTTTCACATCACTATGAAGAGATTTCAGTGTTCAGAGCTTTTGTCCAGGCAGCTACCCCTTTCAAATACCCAGAAGATATTTACCTCTTTATGTACTGGTCCAAGCATTTTGATTGCTCATTCTCTGAGTCTGACTGTGCCTTGAAGAACTGTATCCCTAATGCTTCTCTGGCTTGGTTGCCTCCGAATCGTTTTAACACAGTTATGAGTGATAGGAGCTACAACATATACAATGCTGTGTATGTTATGGCCCATGCCCTCAATGAAATGCTGTTTGAAGAAATGCTAACACCACCAATGAGAGATACAAAAGTGTTGTTTTTCCCTTGGCAGGTAATGTGTCTTCCCTTGCATGGCAGACAGTGCTTTTCATGTGCCCCTCTCAACTTATTCCATGAATTTAACCCAAGAATGTTAGCATCATTTCTACAAATTATAAGATATTGCATATCACACTTAATATTAAGGAGAAAATTCTTGACTTGTGTTGAATCGGTCTTTGATGAACGAGCCGCTGGTAAAGAGAAGAAAAGAGAATGCCAGCTCATTGCTTCTACAAATTGCATATCAAGTGCTTGACCATGTAAAGGACCATTATAACTATCTTATAATATTCAGGAATGCTATTGATTTTTGTTTAATCTGGCAGAACCCTTCTGATATTGATGAACTCACTTTATGGTAGATGTTGTTTAAATAGTTAGGTAAAAAGTGAAAGAATTGTTTTTGAAGCTGTGATTTCACAGATGATGTTTTATCCTAACCCAGATGGTCATCTTCCTTAAATGGGCTTTCACAGAATATATTTTTCCTGAAACTGACCCTTCTGAAACATGGTGAAAATTTAGTCCTTAGTCATTCATGTTTTACCATAATAGATATCAATGTTAATGTTGCTTTAAGCAAATAGAAATAAAGACTCAGAAACTGTCTTCCACCCATATAACCTGTCTTTCTCCTGGAGCTCTGTTCATGTAGAATGATGTGTCTCTTTTAGCTGCATCGCTTTCTGAAGAACGTCCAATTTGACAACCGTGCTGGGGACAAGGTGAACTTAGATAACAGAAGAAAACTGGATTCACAGTATGACATTTTCAATTTTTGAAATTTTCCAGAAGGCCTTAGACTTATGGCGAAACTAGGCACATTTTCCTCTCATGCGCCATATGGCCAGAACATGACTTTATCTGAGGATATCATAGAATGGGCCACCGGAGCTACCAAGGTATGTTGTACCCAGTCATGCTACACTTATCCACAGAAACTATATATTGTCATAGGTTTTCTGGCCAAAAGTGTATTCGTGCAATATAATCATGTGTGAAAATTGAAGGATTAAACATTAATTTTCATATTTTATATTTTAAAGAGAAAAAATGCACACAATTATACAGAACTAACAAAACAATATGGCAAGTGATTAACCATATTAATATAATTAATATTGTTATCCTCAAAGTAGTTTCTCAGATGACTTGATATCTGCATGAAAAATGGATCCAATAACATAGGTATAAGTCATTCTTTTTGATGATCTACTAAAATTAGGAGTGCAATATTCTTAATTGTCATGTGTGTATATGAACACACAAGATATGATCATATGTCTCTCTACATCCATCTGTATCCCTGTATCTCTATAGTTAAATAAGAATGTATCTGTATTCCCTGTAGTGATATTCTATGTCTCTTCTGTTTCAAAATGCATTATGCAAATGTTTTCTGACATCAGAGAGGTATGCTAACGCTATTATTATTGGGATTGCATTCAATCTCTGTAACTGCTTTGAAATTATAGCCATTTTCATGATGTTGATTTTTCATAATCTTGAGTAAGTGTTATCTTTTCATTTTCTTATATCATTTTCATATCTTTTCATCGAGTACTGTAATTTTAATGTATATATATTCTTACACTTTTATAGTTTTGATACCTCTCTACTTCAATTTTTAGGATGTTACTGAGAAAGGTGCAGTTTCCTTAATTTATTTCTCACTGATTTTAATATTCATGTTCAGGAATGCTATAGATATTTTGAATGTTGATATTGGATCCAAGCATGCTAAAGAATTGGGTTGTTAAATGTATAAGTTCTGTGACTGACCAAATGGCTGTGCAGATTAAAGTGCCTGCAAGCAGGAGCGGGCGCCGGACATTCCATCCCCGGGCCTTCCATACCAGCCCCGCCCCTGGGGCACACTGAGATGTCAATTAAGACTGGGCATGGTTACATAATGTGCCTGTAAGCCCAGTTCTTGTGAGGCTGCAAACAGGCAGATCACTATGATTCTAATCTAGTAGTAAGACCCTGAACATCATGTAGACCCTTCCCAAAACTACAAATATATATATATAATGTCTTTTTGTGGAGCTATCGTAGTTTTCTATGGAGAGCACGATGACATCTATGAATAAAGGTGATTTGCCTTCTTGCTTATCTAAGTTTATTCCTTTTTCCTCTTCCTGTTTTCTAAATGTTGTTGAAATATTTCCAAATCTAAGTATGGAATAGGAGTGGTGATAATGGGCAGCCTTATCTCATTACTGATTTTAGAGCAAAAGTTTTCAGTATCCTTTTCCTACGATGCTTGCTCTTGGTAGTCAAAAATACTTTTCATTGGACTCAGGTATAGACCATCTACCCCAATTTTCTCTAGGGTCTTTAACATTAGTGTGTGTTGGACTATGTCAAAATCTTTTTCTGCATCGATTGAGAAGATTGTGCCATTTTTATCTTGGAACTTTATTTTTTCAAAGTTTTATTGATAAACAGCAATGAGACAGTTTCAAATCAAATCGGAAGTACAGTTTCAACAAATAATACACTGCATATATTCTTCTAAGTGGTGAATTGCTATACAAGATGCGGACTTGTGATCCTATTTACAAACACCATTAGAACAAATCATTCTATTCATTAAGAGAATGCATCTATATATCTACCCCAACCTCTTTGAATACACAGATACAAAATGGACATTCATCGCTATACCCAATTTTTTATAAGTTCCATTATTGAATATTATAGGTGTGTAAACTCAGCAAAATATTCTAAAAGAGTCCAGTAGCCCATAATAGCATTGGGTCTTCTGTTTAACT